CCACAAATATTTCAAATACCAGCAGGGTCACCCATGGTGGACAGGTTTCAGCAGAGATTCTAGACTAAGATAGACTAGGAAGAAGGACCTGGACACCCACTTCCGAAAAAGTTGGCCATGAAAACCTTATGAATGGCAGTGGAGCGTTGTCTCATATAGCACTGGAAGGTGAGAGGATGGTGCAAAAAGACTGGAGTGTCAGAGGGTTTTTCTGTGTTCTTGCTCCACCTTCAGCTTTCCCCATCCCTGCAGGCCTGCCCTCCACCAGCAGACTGCTGTTACTTGCTGTTTGGTGCTAGTGTGAGGGGACAGGGCAAGGTCTCTGATATCCTGGTTCAACTTCAGTCTTAGACAGGTCCTATGCTCCTGAGCTTTAGGAGTGGGGTTTTCTCAGTATGTCTGCCCCTCTCCCTATGACAGCCAAACCCTGCCTTATATCTGTGGTTGGTTTTGGGTGACCAGAGTTTCTTGCCTTCTCCCCCAACAGAGCAAACCTTCGCTTGAATTTTCAACCCAAAACAGTTTCCTGCTTCTCCCCTTGGGGGAGAGGTTTTTTGCTTTTCTTATTTCCCCAGAAGCAGTGGGTTCTGCCTTGCTCAAGAAGGGCAGGAGGTTTTTAGCCCTCACCCAGAAACAGATGAGTTTTGCTTTTATTCCTCCCTGTGAAGCAAGAGTTTGTTGCCCCTCCCCCAGGCTTTTGCTTACAGGAGAGAAGGCCCGTGGCAGCAGCTGAGGCTTTTTGCCTTCCCCTAGCAGCTGCCTTAATCAACCCCTACCTGCCGGCACCACAAAGAGGAGAGCTCTCTCCCATTTCCTGCCCTGCTCCCACTTTTTCTCATGAAAAACCTCGCCTGTGAGTACAAACTCCCCTGTGTCTGGGCTGGTCTCCAGCTAAACTGACACGCTAGCCCACGGGTAGCCTGTAAAGTTTTGTTAAAATTTTTGCTGGTCTCTTACCTGCTTGTATGAGAGCCAGCCCTTTCTCCTGTGCTCTGCTAAAGCTGAAATGGTTCACGAGTCCCTCTCCTTGAAGAGGCTTTACCTGGTTGCCTTATGACCTCAGCTTTCTGAGAGCTCCAGAAAAGCTATCATTTTGTAGATTATCCGGCTATTTCTCATTGTTAGGGAGTAACATTTTCTTGCAGCATCCTACATCCTAAGTAGAAACAGAAGTCCTCAAGTCACCGTCATCTCTTTCTTAAACAGCAACCACCTCACAGCTGCTCCCCTGCATCCAATTTCGCTCCTCTCCATACATACTTATGCATTCAGCATAAGTACTAAAATTCTCTATCAGAAACTAGAAGGGACTGCAAAATAAAAAACTTGAAATTAGCTACATAAAATATGAAACCTAGGTTACGGTGTACCAGTCTTCTATAGCTGAGTAACAAACCAACCCAAAACTTAGTGGCTTAAACTGTGACAATTATTTTGCTCATGAACCTGCAGGGCTTTGTGGGGATAGCTTGTCTCTGTTCCACTTGCTGTCAGCTGGGGCGGCTTGAAGGCTGGGGCCTGAAATCATTTATATCCCTGGTGCCTGGGGTGGAAGACTCAAACAGCTGAGGACTGAACTGCTGGGAGCACCTCTCTCTTTCCATGGCCTCTCTAGCATGGTGGCTTCAAAGTAGGCTGACTTCCTACACGTTGGTTCACAGCTAGTAAGGAGCAGGGAAAGAGAGAGACACACACACATCTTCCCCCAGGTGGAATGTTTTTATGACCTCACTTCAGAAGTCACAGTTTGTGCTGTACTCCATTAGCAAGGCAGCCACATAGGTTTAAGAGGAGGGAACATTGACCCAACATCTCACTGGAGAAGTGTCCACATCACACTGTAAGATGAAAGTGTGGGATGTGATATATTGAGATGGCCATCTTTAGAAAATACAACCTGCCATACATGAGTCTATTGGTTCCGTAACAGTGAAAAATAACTTCAAAGAAATCAAGCTGGAAAATAAAAACAAAGGAAAACCATGAGCCCTCTAATTGCGTGATTTCATGTAGACATATCATTGCCAAGTGTGAATTTGTGCTCCCCTAATCAATTTAATCATGTCAAGTTCATGGCAGCCATGACCACCTTTCTAGATGCAAATCTGGTCCTGTCAATGCCTCTCTTAAAATGATCCTTTAGTTCCCTGATGCCCCCACAATACATTCCAGATTCCTTAACATGGCTAATAAGGCCCTTTACACCTGGCCTTGTTTATTGATTTCCAACCTCACCTTTTGATGCTTCCTCCTTTGTCCTTTACGCTTCAGCTACACTGACCTCCTTTTCAGCCTCCAAACTTTCTTCTACCTTTAGGCCTTGGTGCATGCAGTTTTCCTCTTCTAGGACTTTTCTCTGCCTCCACGCTCTTATCCCTCTGTTCTAACTGCTACTCATTTTTCTGGACTCGGCTTCCGTAACCCAACCTCTCCTACCTCCCACCCGACTGGTCTGGGTCTCTCAATCTCCTTCCCATACGCTCTCAAAGCTCCCTGTGCTTTGCCCAGGCTCTACAGCACTAGTGATTACAGCACTAATTAGCTAGGCCATATCTCCGCCTCCATCAGTCCACGCGGGAAGCTGTGGTTTCCTTTTATTCACCACCATGCACAATGCCTGATGCAGGGTAGGGGCTCAACAAATTTGGTTAGATGAGTGAAATCTGTGCCTTAAATAACCAACCCACTTCTGGGTTCAAGCAAACAGACCTCCCACAGACCTAAGATTTCTATGGCAGTGTCTTGTCTTGAATCTTATAACTGAAGCAGGGCCAAAGCTAGTTGGGATAGTTTGGAATTTCAGGAAAATATAGGCTGCTTCTCATGGCTGGAGCTGTTCTCAGCCTTGGGGGACTCCTGTCAAGGCAGGGCCAGGGAGTGGCTCCAAGGCGTCTCCCCTCTTCCAGCAATAGTCCTGGTGGGCAGGTCTGCCCGAGAGGGACACACCTCACAACTGCTGAAAGGATGTTTGTTTATTTGCTGTCCTACATCCAGAGCCTATTTCTAGAGCAGGTACTGGACACAGCCTGCACCATTCCAGCACTGATCTTGCCAAGCCTCGGGTGATGAGTGTGTGTGCCAGGAGAGAACAGTGGCAGTCACTTAGCTTATCTCCTTGGCTCCACCCCAACCTTCTCTGGGTATACCCAGTCATTACTGCTTTGCCCCTGTTGGTAATTGCCCTTACATGGCTCTAAGGTTTAGCACTAATTATTCTCCATTTGCTCTGTCTGTTTCACTAAGGACATGAGGAAGGCAAAAAGTTACGGGTATTAAGAAAGGTTCTCTCAGCTCAAATTTTACCAATTTGAGGAAATCCTAACTGGAGTTCTTTGGAAGTTTCCAGGGTCAAAGGAAACAGATCAGCATTTTTGGCCAATACTATCCTTCCTATGGTTAGTTCAATTCCTGAAAGGGAACTGGAACACAAAGAGGTCATTTGACTTATTTATGATCACACAGTAAGCCACAAGACAGATAAAGATAGCACCCAAGACTCTTGGTTTCAAATTTAGTGCCACTTCAATACCCTAAGTTAAATCTACTTCTAAGTTAGCTTTGAGAACTAATATCAAATTTGTTTTGGTAAATGGAGTTTCACCTTTTACTAGAGCCATCACTTAAGTTGTCACCTCTAAACCAATTAAGAAACCATAGTTACGACTCATTGGACTCCCTCTGTGGAAACTTGTCTCTGTTGAAGAGTTAAGGGAGAAGGCAGTCAGAGATCTGGGGCCTTCCTCCGATACCTCATCAGGTTTTCTTTCACATGGGGCAAAGCCTTTCAGTTCTACAATTGCTTTTCGGTTCCTCTAAATCAGCTCCCCACCTTCTCATACTCAAATTTCTGTTTCTTAGGTAGAAAATGGGAGGTAGGGGAAAGGCAAAGCTAAACTCTTGCCTGAATTACAGAAACACTATTTTCTGGTACAGATACATTCTCTAACCATCCTGTGACCAGCTGCTCCTTGGGAGAGTGTTCGGGGACCTTATTTCTTTTTTTCTTAAATTGCTACCGAGGAAGAATAATTTTTGTTTATCATGCAGGGAAAAGACAATCTTAGTTTTTTTTTAAAACCTATGCATCCAGAGGAAAGCCATCAGATGACCCTGTAGGAAGAGTGAGGGCTGGCATCTGAACCCCAGGCAGAGATGGCAGCTTGCAAGCTCGGTCCGAGCCAGGTGATTGTCAGTGTCTGGCTTCCTCCAAGTGTCTGGGGAACACAGAAGGCCACTCTCTACAACAAAGGTAGCCTTCTAATAAAAAGCAGTAGGAATAAAGCTAACACCGTTAGACAATGAAAAAAAAAAGGAAAATATATCTGGAAACTACAACAAAAATATTCATATAATTAAGCAAGTATATGGAGTCACCTGGTTGGTTCCCATCCTTTTGGACAAATACTTGATTTATAAATGAGCAAATGTTCTCTGAAGATTTTTACGGCCATCCTGCTCATCATTAGGGATTTGGAAGCTACTACCCAGGAAGAAGCTCCATGGAGCCGTGGCCTCAGACTTCAGCCCTCAGAACACCGAGATTTGGCTTCTCAGAAGGCACATGTTAAAAACAAGAGGCTAGCAAAGATTACCGGCTCCCCTATGGCCGCATGCCTTTCTCCTTACCTCCCCACTGCCTCAGAGTATCTCTCTGGAAGGAATCAGGTCAATAGCACCACACACACAGCTCTTATGATGAGAAAAGTTATATGGACAACCCAGACTGAACAAGAAGAACCACAAATAAGGAGGAAGCACAGGCTCAGCCAGGAAAGCTGCTGCGAGCAGCAAGCTTGGAACTCTTCAGGAGTGGTGTCAAACACCAACACCACACTTACAAGTCTAATTTGGAACCTGGCCCTTTTTAAGTGCAGAAGGAAGTTAGGGGAGAAACCATGCATGAAATAAAAAAACATACACACAGAAACACTCACATTTTCACACTTCTTTTCGTCCATTTTTCCCCACAAGGAACAAATCAGACGAAGGAAAAGCCCAGCCTCTTTTTCTGAAGTCCCTACATTTATTATGGATTTGCTAGAGAAGCCCCAGATGGGGCTTGGATTCAAGCAGGCAGACGTCACTCTCCTTGGCCCCACGCACCCCTGACAATTTCCCAAGGGAATGCTTGGGACACAGGCGGGAACATCCAGAAAAGGCAAGAAAAAATATGGCTCACTTAACTTATACATTATACACAAGGGCATCAGTTTCTCCAAATGCTTTCACACTTGGTCGTGCACTAGATTCTTAGCAGACTTCTCACCTGCACCAACAGTGCTCAGGCAAGCTGCGAGACACAGAGGAAAGCAGTATTTTGATCCAGCACTGGGTCAGTCACTTTATCCAAGACAGTCACACATGCCAGCTCCAAGCAAGTCCTCAGGGGCCGGCAGCTGTTTGCTTTGTGCGGTGGAAGGCTGGGCTTTTTTCCCTCCCTAGATTTCTCCTTCGCTTTTGCTGCCGAGCTCTCCAATGTTCCCTCTGGACCCAAGACAGCTGCTCAGCGTGCGTGTGTGTAATTTATTGTTCTGCTGCTGCTGGCTCGTCCCCGGCCGCTGGCTTCTCAACCTGTGACTCTGGAGGAATCAGATACTGGACCTCCTCTGTACTGATGGCTACTTTATCTGGCTGGAGCCACCTCTTGAAATGTTCCAAGGTGCTAGGAAAGAGCAGGAGAAAAAGGCGGCTGCATCAGACCTCACTGATTAATTACTTGATGATTATCTCAGTTACTCAAACACTGCCTTCCCACCCACCACCAATTTCTTCCTACAATTGTTTTTCACTGCTAACACGGGGAGAACGATGATACTCCTCTGACAGCTGTGCATCCTTGCAGCTCAGTGGCATAATTTACCCCCTAGTGGGCACTTTGGCTATACGCAGCACCGAGCCCCCTTCAAATGCAGAGCCCCTGAAGGCTTGATGAGAACAGCTAAGAGCTTATGCCCCAGTCCTGTCTTTTTTTTGCTCAAGATTGGAAAGGAGAGAAATTGTCCAGGGGAGGAAACATTCAAATAAATATCAAATTATTAGTGAGGCAGAAACCTGAGCATCTTGAAATCTTATATCTGCTGCAGTCTGAGACTCAGTTATACTTACAGCACTTAGTTGCCTGAAGCATGATTTGGGGGTTTAATTGTGGGGTTTTTGTTTGTTTAGTCCATCCTGTAGTAAGTCCCCAAGATGGAAATATCGGAGCAGCAATGTCCCCCACAAAGGAATGGCCACTATGCCAGAGGGCTCTTGTTTGGTTTGGATCTATGGGGAGGGGGAAAGTGTCCCCATTCCACCCTCCTCAAATACCCAGGATCCTCCACTCTAAAGCTATTAGACATTCACGGTAAAGTTCAAATGACTAGAAATAACGTAAACCTCATTCTACGCTCTTCAATAGCACAAAGTCTGAAGCCAAGAAATAAAGCCATAACTAGCAGATTTTAGACACCTAAGACGGGGGAATCATGTTGTGGACAGTCAGATTCTCAGCCTATGCCTCCCTTGCCAAAAGCACGCCATGAGGAGGGTCACCTACCTGGCCTTCACATACGTGAAGAACCACACAATTCCATTACAGAATGGCCTCTGTTTAAAACACAAACTGAAGTTTGAAAAAAAATGCATATCTACTGCTTCCTGGTGCTTGTCCTGAACCCTATAGAAAGACACATTCCCACAGATGTAGGTTCAGGGGAACAAGGGCCCACAGCTCAGAGGACTCGGGGGCTACACCGGCATCTAATCTTCATCTACCACACTCTTCACAGGATTGTTTCAATTATTTCTACAGAGAAGGGAAAACCACATTATTTTAGGTGTGTTGATAAACACACAGACACATTCTCTTGAGCTTTGGTGGTGATCTGATTTCAGAGATAATGAATTCCTACTTGAGAACTATGCAGGAAAAAGTTTTGTCTTTTCTTCTCAGAACTGGAGAAGAGGGAAACATTCAAGGGGAGAGAGAACATAACACCAAATTATTAGTGGCTCAGGAATCTGTGCGTCTGCAAGTCTTTTGTGTTTAAGGCTCAACTGGGTTGAGCTTTTAGAGACAGAAAAGAGCAAAATGTATATTATTTTCTGAACCCTCAGAGGATAGCTGGCCTGACCTGAGATGCCACAATGATTTCTATTGGATCTGGGGGCATGCCAATGCGGTCTTTGAGATAATGGAAGTGAAAGTATTTTGCAAGTTAAAAAGTAAAATGTAACTATGAAGTTTTATTCACATACCATCCATGATTTCAGCAGCAGTATCTTCATCTGACACCACGGGACTCTCAAAATCAATGTTAGTAATATGTTGCAAACTTGGGTTAAATTATATTCCCCTAAGACCTTTTGTTAAAATTCAGGTTTTGACTCCCCTCACCAATTTTCATTTTGAATAATTTCTTACTGAACTCAGAAATTCTGTTAGGAAGAATAATACTAAGAGTAGCTAACACTTACATAGTACTTACCATGTGCCAGGCACTGTTCTAAGCACTTTGTACATAGTAACCCAAATAACCCTCATAACAACCCTATGAGGTAGGAGGAAACTGAGGCACACACAGATTACTTACCCAAGAATACACAAGCAGGAGTGGCAGAGCCACCTTCCCGAGTATCAAGTGCCATGCTGCTGTTTGTGGCAGAATGTCCTCTCCTCCTGTCTGCATTCGGCTCACCTGCAGGTACTGTGCAAGTCCTGCCTCTTTCTCCAGCACAAACACCAGAGCCCAGAGGGAGCTCAGTGGTCTCTCAACTCCCAAAGCATGTTCTGTCACTTCCACGCATCTGGAGCTTATGCGGCCTCGTTTTGTTAAGTGTGTGTTTATATATATATATTTGTCATCTCTCCCCCTAGTTCTGAGCACCAAAAAAAGGGGTCTAAAACTTCCTTACATTTCCCCTCCACCCTACTCCCCCAGCCCCATGGCATCAAGCACATGCCTTCTCACAGTTGATGCTTAAGAAATTCATTCATTTAGTCTACACAAAGCTGAGTGCCTATAACATGACAGAAACTCCGGAGGCACTGGAGATTCACAGGTTAAGAAGATGCAGTTTCAGTTGTTCAGTGATTACTACTTTCTCAAGTAAACTGTGTACTTAGAAATGAAGACAATGGTTTGTCCTCAACTCTGTTTTAACCTGTAATCAAAATGTAGGTGGGGTATTTATATTTTGGCAAAAATACCCATTCTCAGAAATCTGCTGCTGGACTAAGAGCAAATAGAGCAACCCTACAAAGGATGATTTTAGCTCAGAAAAGCTGATGTTGGTATCAACTCATATCTGGACTCATATGTCACTCTCCCTGAATTCTTTAGAGAATGAGAAATTCCCTCAGTGAAACAGACTGTCACCTGGAACTGGACTGGGAATCAATTACCTCTCATCAGAATCAAGTCCATCCACGAAGAACTCTGACGCTAACTTCTCCTGCAGGAACCGATCCCAGCATTCCTTCTTGGCTTGGGCCAGGGTTCGAAGCATGTCCTTGGAAGTCACTTCCTGATTTAAACCTTTGATTCGTCTCAGTTTCTTCTCTAAAGAGAGAAGTAGAGCTTAACAAGGAAAGTGAGTATGAAATAAAACTAAATCTAAAATGCAAAATGACAACTTGAAAATTTTCTCACTGAGGAGTACGTCCATACTCCCTGCCAAAGAGCTTTTTTTTTAAAATTTTTTTGGTGAGGAAGATTGGTCCTAAGCTAACGTCTGTGCCAATCTTCCTCTTTTTGCTTGAGGAAGATTAGCCCTGAGCCAACATCTGTGCTAATCTTCCTCCATTTTTTTCTGTATGTGGGCTACCACCACAGCATGGCTTGATGAGCAGTGTATAAGTTTACACCCAGGATCCAAACCTACAAACACTGGGCCACTGAAGCTGAGTGTGCGAGCTTAACCACTATGCCACCGGGTTATGGCCAAGAGCTCATTTTCTAAGGAGGACGGGTAAATGCACATTTTTCTTTTTCCTTCACAATGTCTTCACTTTGCATTGTATTAAATAAATGTCTAAACCCCGAAAAGGGAACAGCCACAGATTCTCATAAATAAATCGATGGCATGTTTTCTTTGAAATCACAGAGGCCAGCAGGTATCTCTCCAAGGAATGCTTGTTTTCCCTGGCTTGACATGTGTGTACTACCATCTTTTTTCAACTCCTTGAAAACAGTCTCTCTGAGGAGTAAATGGTTTTTTCTTTTTGCTATAGTGACATGAAGCGGTTTCCAAACCTCATGAGAAAGAATTAGAGAAAATGATGAGAGATCCAATGGTTCATTAGACACTAACATGGACTAGATGAGAATTCAATAACAAAAGACATTTAAGATCTCTATATGTGATTAAATTTTTGATTAAAGAAAAAGAATCTCCCAACATTTTTTAAAGTTGCTCAACTTGCAGCCTGAATGTAAGAGCCTAACAAAAACAAACGTCTTGTAATCCCTTTGAGAGTGGTCCATACGGCTTCCTCATGATGGATGTTTAATTACTCTTCTTTGCATTTTAAGTATAATTGTTGAACAGATATCCCCCTTTGAAGAAAGCAAGAAGGGGTATCGCCATTTGCCTTTTGCCTTCATTTAGTCTTGCCTTCAACTATAATACATGAATAAATGATGGCTTTTTGGAGGGGGCAGGGGGAACATCAAGCCCGGAACCAAAAGAAACTTTATGATTTGCAATACAGTTTTCATCTCTAAACAAGCCATATCAGCTAGCACCCACAGATCAAAACAAGAAACACTTTTTGTTGCTGCAAGTTACCACCAAGAACTCACGCATGGAAAAAGCCCGCAGTTGACAAATGTTAAATATTTGAGGAGCTTTTTCCACCTTGAGGACCTGAAAAGGATTATGCACATCTCACATTGAACTGGCTATGTTTTTAATTGTTGCTCTTAGCGGATTCTCTTTGATACAGGTTTATTTGGCAATAGAAACAATCTTTATATTGTCTGACCTTGGTTGTCAAGCTGCAAGGTACTCTTTTGGGCTGGAAAGGGTCTTCCTCTCTCCGAGTGTGCTGAGTCTCTGATCAGCTGTGACTTAAGGGGGGCGGGCAGAAACATGCACCACTGCATACTCCAAACCTGCCTCCCATTCTCTCCCAGACTCCGCCAAAGGCAACAGAAGTGGCTCTTATTTTCCTCAGAGAAGGAAATTTTAATCATCCTCTTAACTGACTTCAGAAAAATGATCGGTGGAGTTTTAACTTTCTGAACCAGTCTTCACCAATCAAAATCATCACCGAATCCATGAAAGTTTCTTATAACCCCTGGGCGCAGAGCACCAACAAGCAAAGGATCTGGTACTTCAGATTTCTCAGACTGTTGCTCCTTCTCCGTATCATCATTAAACAGGCATTCCGACTACCACAAAACAGAACTGTCAACCTCCTCAGCCACGGCTGCAAGCATTACTATCCTATCTTCGGTGGCTTCCTGACAAATTTCACATTACACCCTCATCTTTCTCATTACGCATCATTCCACCTGTGTTTTTCTCACATCTTTTTCCTCCAGTACATCATTAACAAAATTCCTTTTATTTTTTCAAGATATTTCTCAGCAATCACATAAACTATCATTCTGACTCTTCTTTTTCTTCTTCCTCAAAAGCTGCTTCTTCCTAAATTGTCTTTCCTCCCAGGTTTGGTTTTGTGACACACAGATGGGTCTCATGGATATTTAATAATAAAAAGATACCACAATTCTAAAGACTGGCCATCACTTCCCTAGAATGATATTTTTCTTTTCCCTTGCATGGGACAATGTGAATCTCTTTCCTGTGTTTGGAGTCTCTCTAAATACTTACACTTAAGGCCACAGGACAGGACAGTGAAGATGTGTTCAGGAAATGTTAAAAAAATAAAATGACTAACAGAGGCAGAATGAATTTTATGTCAACATGCACCCATTACAACAATCAATCTATTTAATGTAAGTTTTTCAAAGTGTAGCATCAGAAATCCACATGTAGCTCTGGGGCCATGATCTTTTCTTTCAGGATTGCATAAGACTTGATACTTCTGAGTTATTTGAATATATAGGCCACTAATAGTAGGCAAGAGGGTTATAGAGAATGCCAAGAAATAGAGCAGAATTCAGATGAAACAGTCCGAGGCAGGAGGCAACAAAGACTGTTTTAAGAGATGTACAAGGAAAAGGGGGCTCCTTTCCAACAATCAACCTGAAACATCCGCTAGAATTACATCTGATAGATACATGTGGTGAGGACAAAAAAAAAACACCTAAGAATAAAAATCCAGGTTTGATGTAACAGAACTTCAGTATGCTTCCTTAAAACCACCAGCTTCTGATTTAAAGAAGAAAAAAGCCATTGAACTTACCTAAAGATGCTAAATACACTTCTGAATCCTGCAAGGGAGCCCATGGCTTTACAGCTGGCTGAACAGCAAAGTCTGAGGCCCTCTGGCCTGCAGCAGCGGGGTAAGAATCTACGAAGGAGTCTGAGAAGGCAGTGTTGGCACCATCCTCTTGGTCAGGATTTGGTAGACAGGAACAGATTTCGGCCCAAAGATCCGGGCCAGATCTTGTGGTTGTAGAGTCAATGCTCTCAAACATTTTCATTTGGAATCTGAGCTGAAAAACAGAAGCTTGAGTGAGTAAAGACTGGCTTTAAGGACACAGTATAACTATGAGGTACTCAGATTATTTGTTTACCCATTGAAGGAAGGTAATAGCCTTTTAAGAAGTTTCCCTTAACCAAACTTAAAGTGTCTTCTATTCAATTCCTAAGTTACAGATAAAAGATGGCAAGAGGGTAATTGGGTTCCTCTTCTGGCTCTGCCCTCAAGTTGTTTTCATAATGAAGTTTGTCTTTCAAAATGGAATTTCTACAAGTCAGACACAAAAGGACAAATACTGAATGATTCCACTTACATGAGGTACCTACAGGATTCAAATTTAGAGACAGAAAATAGAATGGGGGTTGCCAGGGGTTTGTGGAGGGAAGAATGGGAGTTATTGTCTAATGGGTACAGAGTTTCAGTGTGGGAAGTTCTAGAGATGAACAGTGGAGATGGTTGCACAACCATGCAAATGCCACTGAACTGGACATCTAAAATGGTTAAAATGGTAAACTTTACATTATATATGTGTTAACACACACACAAAGGAATTTCTAGGATATTTCCAGCAAGGACAACCACCCTGCACTTCTCTCCAAAGGTTCTCCAAAATGCAACCAGTCTGTCATCAGGCTATTAAATTCTGTTTTCATTAGGGCACAGACTAACAATCTTGCACACATTCCATATACACAAGGATAATAAAGGTGCTTCGTGATGAAAACTCTGTCAGAGAATACTGTCATATGCAAAGGCCCACGTACGCACTACACGTAGAAGCTGGGCTATACGCCTCATGTTCTTATTTTAATACTCAGAAATACTGAGAGAGAGACATTTTCATCATTTTAACAGATGAAAAAACTGAGGATCAGGTGGGTAACTTGTCAAGGGCACACTACTGATAGATGGTGAATCCTTGATTGGAAACTGGACCTGTGCTGCTCCAAAATCCATGTTTTTACCCAACACCACTCTGCTTGTTTGGGAATTTACTGAAAGTAGCCCAAGCAGAGCTAGGTGGGAAGGGCTACGCACAGAGCCTGGGGGCTTTCAGAACTATCTAATCTCACAGGATGGCTTGACACCTTCTTTCAGGAGGGATCTCTGAGATTAGGAAGGCTGCCTGGAGAAAGGTCTGAATAATTCCAAGACAGGGAGCCCAGCCAGTGCAAGGGCCCGGAAGTAAAAGGGGCAGATACGTCACGGCAGCCCTGGATAAACTGATGCCAGAGGCCACAACGAACCCTCCACCCCCATCCCGAAGTCGTTTGAACCCACCCAAATCAGAACTTTGCTCGCACCTGCGCCCCGGTCCCCGCTCTTCCCCTTAGGAAGTCCGGAACAGCGCTGGAAACCCTGGGGTCCAGACCCCGGGCCTCAGTCACTCTGTCCTCAAGCACTAGCTGAGCGGGGTGAGTCAGGCCCCGAGGCCCCTTTGCGGATCCCAGGATGGGGCGGGAGCCGGGGATACAAAACGCTGGGCACCCTGTCCCTCCTCACCTACCGCAATCACCTGCCTGGCAGCTTGCAAACACTCAGCTCAGCTGCGTCGCTGGCAACCGGAAGAAGCGGGAGGGCGGAGTCTCCAAGTGACGGATCCCGGGAGCCCTCCAACCACCGCCCGAGCTGGCGATGTTCTGTGCGTCGATTGGTCGAGTGGAGCTCAACAGGGTGAGGAAGTGGGGAGATGGGTGCGAGGAAGCGGTGGGCGGGATTGTTGTCGCCGGGGAACGGTGGAATCGCGTGCACTGGCTCCTGCCTTCCCTGGGGCCGGGTTGATTCCGTTTACTCCTGCGGGTTCCAGCCGCGCGGGCGGCGACCTCCGACCCTACTCTCCTCGGAGGGAGAAGCCTAGTTTCCAAGGCCTTTGACTTTTTTTGGTTCCCTGAGCAAGTTCATCTTCTGGACAATTCTCTGAGCCAGTGTTTGTTTCTGAAAATTTCAGCCCTTCTCTAACCAAGTTATAGCACATCGATGGTTCAAATGGAGAAGAAGGCGACTTCTTTCTTTAACTGTCACAGGACACCCGTGTCCCACTCACCAAGTTATGAAGCTTTCTCTCATTCCTTTAGTCAATAGACGCCAAGCTCCTGCTGTGTTCTAGGCATTGTGTTAAGCGGGAATTCAAGACAGATAAGACTTGGTATGGGTTCCAGAGGTCTTCAGACAAGTTTACAAATAACAGCAAAGAGTTATAGAGGATACGACGGAAGTCTGGCAGGAACACATAAAGGCGACAGTGGTTACGGCATGGGCAGGGGTGGGCGGGGGGAGGGGGAAGGACGGGTCAGAAACGCTTTTTTAAAGGAGATGACCTTTGATATCCTAAAGGGGTTATCAGTGCGCTGAGATGCAACCCTTCTTCCCCCATCCACCTCTAATTTCCATGGCCGGTTACTCTCTCTCGAAGAAACATGTGCTGAAAGACATCAACCAATCATCAGTAGAAGTAACTTGGCTGATGATATAGTCTCTAGATGTGCGCAAAGTCAGTCTATGTGGCTGTGGTGGTAGTAACTACCACCCTGTGAAAGGGAACTACAAGGTACTCCGTTGCTCCCATTTATAACCATTCTTAGAATATGCAAACAGAAGGAAGTGGAAAGCAAGGAAGTTAGAAAACAAAGGAGCAAGATTTTGGCAGTGCTTATTTTTGGGGAATAAATAGGGAGGGGGGCGGAGTCTCCCAGTGAGGGATCCTCAGACTACCACCCAACCTGGCAATATTTATCTGGCAGCATCTGATTCACAGAAAGGGGCAGCATCATAGGGTTATGGGTGCTTCATCAAGCTACTTCATGGCCTCTCAACTTGCTTATGCCCTTTTCTCTGATTTCCTGCTCACCAAACATACTCTTAATTTCAGATTTGGCTTCTTAAATATCTTGGTAGAAGGATGAGGGTGTGTTTAACAGTAGGCATAAATAGTTGCTGGCATGAAATGGAATATATTTTGTGACTTAAAGTTACAGCTGTAAATTAACAAATTGGCACCCTTACCGATTCACCCATGTCTTCTGAGTTTAGTTGGTGTGTTCACTAAATAAATCCAAACCAGATCCTGGACTTGTAAAACTGAAACTATAAGCCATGGTAATCTCCCCTTCCTCAAGAACTGCTCACACCAGGAAGCCACATGAGGGCGGTCAGCGTCCCTTTATCTCAGACTCTCTGCTTTTGCAGCAGTGTGATTAGCACAAATAGGTTTCTTATTTGTATCCTCAACGAGCCTACGCTTTCACTAAGATCAGGAACCAGGTTTTTCTTACCTCTGTATCTCCAGAGCCAATCAGCCTGGCAATGTTCAAAGTTTGTTTGGTGTGTGAATGTTTGAATTAGAACCCTCACGATCAAGGACCACACTGAACTGGAGCTAGACCTTGTGATTCCCTCTTCGGTCACTTCTTTATGTTTCAACCAGGGTGATCCTTTGGAATGGAGATCAGATCATATCACACACACACCCCCCAAAAATTCTTTGATGATTCCCCGTTGCTCTTAAAATAGACTTAAATCCTTATCATAGTAGTTAGTTGGAGTTCTTTGTTCAAACAGTAGAACTCATTCTAGCCAGTTTAAGCAGTAAAAGGAGTTGATTAAAACTGCTCTCTCCAATAGAACTTTCTGTGATGACAGAAATGTTCTGTATCTGAGCTGTCCACTAAGGTAGCCACTAGTTTCATGTGGCCATTGAGCACTTGAAATGCAACTTGCGCAACTGAAGAACTGAATTTTAAATTTTATTTCATTTTAATTAATTAAATTTAAATAGCCGCATGTGGCTAATGGTTACTATATTGTACAGCACAGGATTAAAGGATGTTAATTAGTTCACAGAATCTCAAGATGGGCCAGAGTCAGGCTTGGGGTCTATAAAACGGGGAACAGTGTCTAAATCTCACTGAGGGACTGCTCAGGGAACACCCCACTGTCAGTGAAAAGAGACCCTGCAGTTCCAACAAGTTGCCAGGTGTAGTCCAGGTTACTAATCCACAGACCACATTTTGAGTGGCAAGGCTTTGGATAATCCCACAAGGACTCCCTCTCTAGACCTCTCTCACATCTCTCTTCTTGTCCATGCTTCGCACACATTCTGAAAAGCATTCTTTTTTAAAAAAAATAATGACTTTCTTGAAATACAATTCACCCTTTTGCCATGTGGCTGATTCTCAGAAGCCTTGGTTTCTCTTGATTTGGCTCTTTTTCTGAGCCTCCTCTCCAGCTCTCTTGTGAATTCTGTGAGGTACTAATATCCTTTCAATAATTCCCTCTCTGATGAAGTGAATCAGAGTTGGTTTCAGTGTTTTGCATTTAAGAACTCTGATAAACATATCCTCTGATCCATTTGCTGTTTTAATCTCAGGACAGGAGCAAACGGGAGATCTCTAATCCTTCTCATGCTGTTGGGGGGAGCGGTGTGAAAACATCGCTTCTGGGGTGTGTGTATTTTTAAATACATATTTAACAGCTTTATTGAGATATAAGTCACATACTATAATATTCACTCACCCTTTTAAAGTATACAACGCAGGGCTTCTTAGTATATTTGGAGTCTAGCAATCCTCATTCTGTTTTGTTTTGTTTTGTTTTGTTTTGTTTTAAACAACTCCTTTCAAGAGTTTTCCAGACCCAAGGGCTCTGAGCATATCTACAGGGAATCCACACTTTCGGTGAGACATCCTCGCAGCCTCTCAACTCGCCACTCACTCAACTCCTTCAACTCTCTCCCTAGCTTCTCTTCGCAGTCCCGGCTTCGCACTGGGCCTCACTGATTGGCTGGTGCTGAGTGACGTCCTCAGATCGCGACCCATGAACTGCGGCCGCGCGGTTATGTGGCTGACCCGCCGCCGCTGGCTCTCGGTTCTGGTGCAGGAGTGCTTGAACCTCCGGCGCCTCAGCTTTGCCGGGACTTGTGGTGGCCATAAGGGCCGGATGGCGGAAACACCCTCGATCGAGGCCGAGGCAGCTAGCGAGCTGAGGGCTCCGACTCAGCAAAATGGAGACACGGGTGGCCACGCGACGGATGAGCGGACCCCAGGGCGCCCGGAACCAGCGGGCGCGGGAGTGGAGCCAGCCCCAGGGGACGGGAAGCCAGCCACAGGGAGCGGGGAGCAGGCTCCGGCTGCTGCCCCGGGCCCAGGCAAACGGAAGAAGCGGCGGGGCGCAACCGGGGAGCGCATCGTGCCGCCCCCGAAGAAGCGGCGGGCTGGAGTGAGCTTCGGCGATGAGCACTTTGCAGAGACCAGCTACTACTTCGAGGGCGGCCTGCGCAAAGTGCGGCCCTATTACTTTGACTTCCAGACCTACTGCAAGGGCCGCTGGGTGGGCCACAGCTTGCTGCACGTCTTCAGCACCGAGTTCCGAGCCCAGCCCCTGGCCTACTACGAGGCCGCGGTCCGGGCCGGGCGCCTGCACCTCAACGAGGAGCCGGTACAGGACCTCAGCATTGTGCTCAAGGTGGAGTCATGATGGGGCCGGCCGGAAGCGGGCGAGGAAAGGGAGCAGGGGTTTTTCAAGAGTTACTGGGCATAGGTACAAGAGTAAAACCGGGGTAATTCTGAAGCGTTCTCGCTTTCACTTGGAACACTCTTTTAGCGCCCTCCTGCCACCTTATCTCCGCAAGTATCCTCTGTGCTTCAAAACTCAGCCCGTTTATCCCCTCCATCACTGCGGTTTCCTTGTTTCCAAGGGACAGAAGTTGGAATTCTCATAGCTCCTGTTAGGCACTGTACAAATAGTAATAATAGAGGCTATTACTTACATCTTACTGTGTGCTGGGGACACAGTTAAGTACTTCAACATTTAATTCTATCGACAGCCTTGTGGGATAGGTATTACTACTTGATTTTACCTGTGAGGAAACCAAACTAAGGTAAAACTCACAAAGGTAAGGCAGCAGTGTCACCTTCACAACCTGTGTTCTTTTAACCACTACTTAAATTATTTATCATAGAGGCTGATATGATAGAATTGTGAAATGTCAGGGATAGAGACTAGAACTGTCTAGCCCAGTGCTTTGACCATTCTTTAAAATTCCATCACAGCTAAGAGGTCCCAGACACCCCTGTCAGTAACACTGGCTCGCCACGGTTGTGGAGACAAGGCAGTTTCAGCATTTGGGGAAGGGGTGATTTGAATCCCCTTTCTCATCCCAATTTTGAGAAGCACAGATCTGGTCTAACCCTTATACTTTATGGATAAGAAAACTGAGGCCCAGAGAAGTTAAGTGACTTGCCCAAGATCATGCAGGGAACCTGTGGGAAACCCAGCTCTAGAGCCCAGATCTCTGGACTGGCAGCTTGGTATTTGTTCAAGTTCACGATGTGATGATTTTTTCCCTCTACTTTAGAAAAAGTTGGCTTTTAAATGTAACTTTATTGTAGAGAAAACAGAAAATAAGCAAAACCAGAAAACATCCATAATTCCACCACCCAGGGATATCACCGTTAACATTTTTGTGTATACCCTTCTAATACTTTTTCAATGCC